TATGTTGGTGTTATACTCAGCTTAAATTCAGTGCTTGATTAAAGCAAACTTGATATTCTCCAGGGATGTCTCCCTTGTAGAATTGTGGATAATCAGAGTGACCACATGACTTTAAAGTCTCGTGGAATCTCTGCGGTGATGACTGATAGAATTATAAAATTAAACGAGACTTACCTGGAAGTTGAAGTTTGATTGGGATTCTATCAGTCATCACAGAGCAGAGATTACACGCCCACCCTTCATGGTACCTGAATCCTCCCTGCACAGTGGAGTGCACCTTTGTCATTGTTGCATATAGACCCTCATGTGGCCACTCATAGTACCCTTTTAAAAATGACTAGTTATGCGCATGCGTAGTGATCTCGTGTAATCTCTGCTCTGTGATGACTGATAGAATCCCAATCAAACTTCAACTTCCAGGTAAGTCTCGTTTAATTTTATAATTATAAAGCAAAAATCTCTCTTTGAATCACACAATGAGGTTGCGTGAGAGGCAGGGGAAGGAAACTGAAAGCCCCTGAAATGTCTTGTTAAAAACTTGATCGATTTACACAAAGAATACAACATTTTATAAATTTAGAATGCACTAGGTCGAAGTTTACTGTATTCATTTATGAAGTCGGTTTAAGTGCATTTTTAAAGATAGATAGGTATGCATAACTTGAGTTAAGCACTCAACCATACTAAATGACATCATAACTTCATACAACGATATCACTGATCAATTAAAGTGTTCAGACTTGAACACGACTTGATTTTTTGAGATAACTGTAGTTTTCGACCCATTAAATCCTCTTACCATGGCGGGATTTCAGCTGAATTATAATTACGACGGGCCACTCTTTTATTCTTAGTTCAATCATATGTCTAGTTGTTACTTTTCTATTCGTAGGTGTGGAAGTGTTATTGTCAATTTCGTAATGTACTTTAACGAAAGTGTGACCACTAGCACGGTGTTGACTTCTCTGAAGAATGCTGCAGAGCAGAACAAATTAGGTCTTTAGGGTTGACCCAGCCTCGATCAAACAAGTTTCTTCACCCACTGTGCCAGGTGGAAGCCAAGATCATATTCAATATCTAAATTATAGTTTCTCAGATAAATTTTCAGAGCTCTCTTATGTAGTTAGCTTTGTCCCATAAATATAAAGTGCTTCTCCGATACATGTTATTTAATCAAACCAAATATCATTTAATCAAATTAAATAACTGAACGCCTTTGTACCCGACCAGAAACAAGCAAAATTCTTATTCCTTTGTGCTGACGGTGTTAATTATGGTTGTTGGGCTAGCTCATTCAGGCGAAGCCCTTTCCATCAAACTAAACTGATTTTTAAAACTTAACTAGGAATTCAGTGAATGTACAATCCAAGCCAGTCATGAACAAACGGATGAAAAAGAGGCGCCAAACTTATTCTGTGGACCCTGTATCCAGCGATCATCCCGCCATTCCTTGCGGGTGACCGCTAAATACAGGTTTGACTGTATCTCGTTAAATCATATCGTATGAAAATTTTCGAGGTTCAATTCCTTCCAGCGGTAGATTGACATCAGATCGTCCTGAAATATCAAAAATTATCCTTCACGTTTTCTGAAAATTTTTAAAGTAACTATTTCTTGAACAGTTTATTGTTTAATCATTGGAATATAATTTGAAATATATCACTCACACCTTCCTTTTACATTATTATAAAAAGGCATACCGACCAGTATTACTATGAAAACCTTGTTTGAATGTTACTTCATCAAGCTTTATAAAACCGATCATTTCAGGTCCCGAGGAATGTAACTGCTCATGCAACGACGTCTTGTTAAAGGCCATAATTGGAGTTCTTTTCTTCATAGTTCTTCTTCTAATAATTTACATAATCTGGCAAAGCAGGAAAGGTAAGTGACGTA